GCCAAGCAAGGGCTCTTCCAAAGGCCTATAGTCCTCCTAGAGCAGCTTGAATTGTTTTCTTCTCATAAGGTACAAAATTTGTCCTGGCAGAAATAATAATGGGGTTCTGGGACCTCATTTTGAGTACTGATTATTGAGGCTTTCTTTGGGAAATGCATTATATTTTCCCTTCTTTGGGCAAGTAGAAATATGCTATGGATTCGTAACATCCACCATTCTTGCTGTTCTATAATTTCTGTGGGCTGTTAGCACTACCAAGCTCTACACATGTAGAGAAATTAAGGAATAGAAATGATATGAAGTAGCTATCTCAAAGCAAATCAAATCATTAAATTACATCATCCCCCGCACTCCCAAAGGGAGACAGAGAATATAGGTCATTCTGGAAAATGGTGACAGTGATTTTGGTAATGCATGTGTTTCTTATTTCCAGTTCTGAACACAATATATATTTCTATGCATTGAATATTCTCCAAAAGACAGATAATAAATAGGTTACTTGCTTTCTACACATTATTTCATTTATTTTAATTTGACAAGCAAGTATCAAGGTTCCCAAATTAAAGACATAGAAAATGAGACTCAGAGACCAAATGAACTGGATATATGTAAGGCAACATATTTGCCTCCAGACATAAACCAATGAGTAAACAGCACCCATAATTAGAAGTTTTTATCTAAACACATCTGATAAATAAAAGATGCTTATGAAAGTTTTCTCGTTCATCAGAATAGGTTAATCATTCCTGACACACAGCAGAGCACTTCTAACTTTCTGGGAAGGTACAATAAAAGATTTCATTCCATCAACTCCAACCTCTCCAACTCTTACCTTTATTGCAGCATGAGCATTTTCTTTCTTTTCTTTTTGTCCTTATAGAATCTTTTCTGTCCCAATTTCCAAGCACTCCCACACTCTTAGTGTTTGCCTAGCACACGTGTAAAGTAGCATACTGAAGAGAAGATGGCTAATTTAAAAATTACCAGTGCTCATGGAAAGCACATTTTCTTTGCCAGGAGGTTTACTCAATATCACCATGTGTTGCTACTCAGGAATAACAGAATATGATCTAAAAGCAATTTGTTTCTACTGGTTAGTTGCTAAGCCATTTAGTATGGAAACCATTCCTGATTTTGACGTAAATTTAAAGAATGGAGCATCCTTACCTCCATGTTTTCATACGAATATAAAACCCAGAGAGACAGAGGCCACAGAGAGTAATGCTACCAAGATGGGGGTCACAGCTGTGTAAGGACAGCTGCGCACTCAACATCTGCTATGTTGTGAATAAGTGCTCTCTACAAGTGCTAAAGTGTGTTCCCCAGAGTGCTGCTGCCAGGAAAAGGTGGGACCCTTAAGCAGGGGGCATAATAGGAGGGCACATGCTTTATTAAAGGAATATAGTTGAGAGAGACTGTGGGATCCTAGTCTTTTTCTTCTTCTATCTGCTAGCTCATGATATAAGAAGTTTGCTCCATCATGCCCTCCTGCCATGATGAATGGGACTGGGGATTTTGGACTGGGATCACCAGAACAATGAATCCAAACAAACCTTTTCCCTTTATAAATGAATTGCCTCATGTATTCCATTATAGTAAGGACAAGGTAAATAAAGTAATATCCAAATTTCAGTTAATTTCTCCTTCAATGAGAAAAAAAGGGGTATTGAAATCCACATTTTACTGCAATAGGTTATTATACCCAACATGAAAGATGACTTTGATTTCTCTGGATTGCAGCAGAAACAAAGAAAAGTACTGAGTGATGAACAGCTGGTGGTCTTCATCCTGGTAATTGGCCAATACCACTTTCCTCATAGACCTGAATCTATATTTTCCCATGTTCTCAATAATATCCATCACTCTGATGTCACTAAATCCTTGTCCCAAAAATGCTTCTAGGTTAAGCTTACTTGTTGCACTCTGAGTATTATCTTGGCTTCATGGCTGAAGGATTTCCCTCACTAAACACAACAGCAGGTGAACATCTGCTCTAATAATAATTTAAGCTTGGATTTTTGTCCTTAAGGAGTGAGTTGGCACATTTGTGAATTTTTTTAAAGAAACATAAAAATTTGTAAGATGACTGTGTTTGTATCCTTTTGATGTCTCAGGATTTTAAATATGATAGAAAAAAATCATAAAGGTCATGCAACACAGCATATTGCCCTTACTGCATAACATAGTGAGGCCACATCTCAAAATAAAGGGAAGAGGCCTGGGAAGTAGCTGAGTGTGAAAGCCCTAGGTTCAGTCCCCTGTATCACTTATCTATTAAGCTTCCGCTAAAAAGCCATCGCCCAGCATGTAGGTGAAAGACTGGTCATCAGAAGGGAACTCTGATTATACACATCTACGTGTTAAGATAATGCTTTGTGTCAGTGTATAAACTCCATCATCTTCTACCTCTAACATCAGCCCAAAGTTTCTAGTTTTGTCCCATCATGCACACTGAATGAGATCATTTTCCTCCTGCTACCTGAAAGCTCTTTAAATATTTGGAGACGATTATTGATAAGTTTCTTAAACAAGTCTGAATTTCTTCTGCCTGTCATAGTTTCATTATGGCACGGTTGCTTTCAGATATAAAATAATGGCGTTGGATTAGTCTAACATTAATGCTGCATACCTAATGCAGGATGAATCCAACAATCTCATGTATTTCAGCAGAATTTAAATTATCTTCCAGCCTGCCTTCATAGTTTAATTTGTGCTTTCAAACTGTCAATCCACCTATTTTGAAACCAACTAACTCAGTGTGTCTATGCACCTCCCACATCTCTTCTCATCTTTACAGAACATAATTCTGAGATGAACTCAGTATTGGGGGAAAAAAAAAGCAGCATCAGCTGAGTCCTCAGGAAAGGACATTAGACACGACAATCCAGCTGTCCATGACTTATGCTGAGACAGCTGTTGCTTGAATTAGGGGCCATTTTTAAGGAAGATCACTTAAGAAAGAACTAGTGAGAGCATACAAATGTCTGAACATAAACACTAAAAGCCTGTTTTAGGGTTTTAATAGAAAGTGTCCCTCCTAAAGGTTTGTATTTAGGACTTCTCCCCTAAGGCCAACTATTGAAAGGTGATCACTGGATCATGAGGGTCCTAACATTTTTATAGGATTAATTTACTCGTGAGATCATAATTTGATGTCAATGAAGCAGATGGAAAGAAGAGGTCATGGGAACATGAACATGGGGAATATATCTTGTCCATTCCCCTTTTCTCTCTGGCTCTTTCTACTTCCTGGCTGCTGTGAAGTGAGCAGTTTTGCTACACTATACCCTTCTGCCATGATGTTCTGCTTCAGCTTAGGTCCATGGCAATGCAACTGACAGACCATGGACTAAAACCTCTGAAACCTTAAGCTAAAATACATCTTTCCTCCTTTAAACTGTCTTTCTCAAGTCCTTCCCCAAAGTATAGAAAGCTGACTGATATAATCTGAGTATATGAAGAAGCTCCACAACACATTACAAATGTCATTACATGCTAATTTATAGCCATTCATATTCACATAACCTGGAATCTCACCCCTTGTCAAATAGTCTTTACAGCATCTTTGGCTTTTTTATTCCAATAGCAAAAGTAAAATTAAACTGTAGGAAGCTAGACAATTTCCCCATTTTCTCTAGACCTCTTGCTGAAGAGAATTAAGAAAATGTACTATGTAATACAACTATGCTCAATGAAATTAAGTCCACCACTGGTCTATACTGTACAGTTACTCTATTTTCAAAAGACCTGTGAGGCAAAATTATTGCTTTTATTCTAGTACATGAGTATACTAACTTCTACTTTTAAATTATCAAATTTTAATTTGAACAAACAACTCTTAAATTATAGTTGCAAACAGGATTATTGAAATCTAAACCTTCTCATTTGTACCTAAGAATTGAATTTCCATTTTGAAAGAGGTTCATGAGAGCTGATCTCATGGGACAATGGCACTCACATTTTGAAGGAAATATCTCCATCTTGTGGGCATTTAGGACTCATATCTAGTACACTTGCAGTGTGTTGCACTTTCTACAATTGTGTTCAAAAAGCATTGGATTGAAAATATAGATTGTGTAGTCGGTATTATAAGAGGATGCAAAATAAATGACAGATTGATCCTATCTCCTGGATACTCACAATCCAAGTTCATCACACACAGGTATCTAATAAAAGAATGTGCCAATAGAGGACATAAAGACTTAGGTAAATATGGCAGACAGGCTTTACATGACCTTTGATTAGGAATATCTGAGTATTTGAGTAGGTTAGATTAATATTTTGGACCTTTACATCTTTATTAGTTAAATCAGTTTAAAAAGAAAGATTATTCCCACCATTACGATCAGCTTGAGTGAAAGGACAGATGTGGGTAAAACAGTTTTCTGTTGCTGCTGTAACAAACTACCTACTACAAGCTTGGTGCCTTGAACCACAAATTTATAAACTAACTGCTCCATAGTTTAGAATTCTGACATGGTTATCATTGGCTACTAAGCACCTTCTATGAAAAGTTGTCTACCTCCAGTCACCAAGTAAGCAATAAGCACTTTATGTTTAGTGAAAGAAACACAAGTTTATTGTACACGATACCTAGGAACTGTTCCAGATGCTGAGGATATGCCCACGCCCAAACAGATGAAGTTGTCTTTGAAGCCTCCATTGCAGTGGATTTAATCTATGCAAGATGTCAGAAAGGCTGCATTCCATTTTTGAAGCTCGAGGGGGAAAATCTATTTCCTTGTCTTCTCCAGATTCTAGAAGCCACCCACACACCTTGGCTCCCTTTCTCCACATTCAAAGCCAGCAAAAGTGGGTTGAATCCTCACATTATTTTACACTCATCTCCTCCCACAGGAATACAGTACCCTCTTCTAGCTCCCTCCTTTCTTTTTTCCACTTTTAAATACTGATTACATAGGGTCCCCCTGAGTAATCAGGACACTCTTGCTCTTTTAAAGTCAGCTGAGCACCAGTCCTCGTTCCATCTGCAAACTTACCTCCTTTCTCTGCAACTGTTCACAGGTTCCAGGCCTTAGGACATAGAGGACCAGGTGAGAGGAGACCTTATTAAGCGAGTGGTGAGTGCACTGGGTTTCATAAAGAAACAAAGAGCTGTAGAGAAGATGAAAGGGAGACAAAATTGGGCGTGAGAGCACTGAGATGTTTTGTGGTTTTTGACTATGTAAGAAGGTTGCAGGGGCTTTCTGTAAAGAATATAACGCTGACAACATTAAACATGGTAGACTGGAGGAAGACTGGCTTGAAGTAAGAGACCAGGCAGAAGAAGAGTTAGAGCCAAACAGTTATTGAAGTGGCTGAACTCATTGGATGACTGTGTGGAGGAAATGTCAGGTGTGTAAAACGCTGTTAAGGCAAAACAAGTGGCACTGTAATTGGATCACAGTTGTGCAGGGGAAAAGAGGTAGGCTTATTTAAAGCTGTAAGAGTCCATAAGTTGACCAGGAAGACTAGGTGCAATGTGAAAGTAAATAGTCAAGGATTGACCTTCAAAGTCTGCCTCTACTTAAAGGGCAGGCAAAGAAAAACAGGTAGAACCAAAGGGCTGCGAGTCAAGGAAGGCTGGGGACAAAGAAGGACAGAGAAGAAAAGGCAAGGAAGGAAATGAAAGGGAAGAATGAAAAATGAAAATCACAGGTAACCTTACCAACGTAAGAAAGAAGAGCTACAGTCACAGAATATTACAAATAATCTAGCCAGCCAAATGCGAAAGCAAGCCGGCTTTGGCATAGGTTTTCTCCAGATGAAAGTAATATAACTCAGTGCAGGAAGTATAAAGGTATGGAACGAATGGTGTGGGAATTGTTCCTTATCTGCTTTTTCTAATACATTTGTGTAAGATTAGGATTCTGCAAGTTACTGTGGCCAAACAAACCACAATAATAACCACCTTCTGTGAGACCTTGCCTACATCTAGTCACCACTGAAGCACAGTATGCTTACTGAAATAAACCAATGTTTATTGAACATACACAATTCTGGGGCACTAAGGTGCTGAGGATATAACCATACCCAACAGATGAACTTATCTCACTGAAGCTTCCATTCCTGTGGATTTCACCCACAAAACCACCCCCTGAGGCAGTCGGCATAAAAATCCTCAGCTGGAAAAGCTAAGTGAAGCAGCTATGACTGACTGCTGGAAGCTTAGGAAGCCCTAAGAGGAGGAGTAGGAAAACCAGGTGGTCTGGCTTTGGGGTACCAAGTACAGAGACTGCCTGTATCCATACAGAATCCACCCCATTTGAAAACATGATAAATACACAGAACTGATTTGTTAAATATTTATATTTCCCAGCTAGTTTTAGGGATTTTTCAGATTTTCCTAAATACTCCTGTATGCCATCTCACTTTCCTGTAACTAATCTCTCAAAAGTCTGATAGCTGTATAGGTAATGCATTGCAAGACCTAGCAAGCAGCAGCACAGAGCAGAAGATGTGCTCTATGCCAAAACAGAACATGATTTCCACTTGTAGGAACACCTAGGCCACACTGTGACAGACACAAATCCTATTGGAAATGCTTATAATAGTTATGCAAGTTACATTCCCATCAAGAAGAAACATTTGTTAAGAACTCAGATCTGAAGAGGTATTCAGAGTCTGACACAGAGTGCAACGCTCAGGGAGAAGTCATTCTCCATGTGAGAAGAGCATCAACAAGGAAAATTCCAGTTGAGTTGGCAACAAGAGGCTTTGTAAGGGAAGACTAAAAAATTGAGTTGCAGATGACTTAAATTAGAAGTTGGACCCATGATATCAAATCTTTCCTTAAATTCTGGAGTTATCTTCATTGTACCTACATACGGCAAAGTCTTTGGCGAGGATCAAGTTGTTTGTTCCATCCCATTCTTCTGAGTCCATCAACATCTAAAGCACAGAAAAGGAATCCCACTCCCCTTGGGATGACATTTTTCTCCCTTATTGGGTTAAAACATCATTTAATCTGAAGAAATTTCAGAATAAGTAGAGAAATAATGAAGTGAATTTGTTCAAGTATATTTTTTAGATTTAGAATATTCTGATCATGACTGGTATTTTAAATATGTAATTCTTATTGTGTAAGAGTTCAATATAGACTTTTTCTATTTAAGTTTCAAATGGTGCAAAATTGAATACTTTTTAAATCGCAATTTTAATTTGGTGAAGATAAGTTTTTTCTAAATTTGTAAATAATATTGTAATATGCAAAAGAATTAAGATCCACCATATTTAAAACTTTAATTTATGAGATTTACAAGTATTATTTAAGCATGTGGGTAAGTCTATTTGTTAGATGATTTAAGTACTTAAAAAGAATAGAATATATTAAATTTATAAGTGCAGTTTAAAATATTTAAGTGATTTAATTAACTAGGTTGTTTAAAAAAACCCTTTAAAAGTGATTGCTAAAGTTGCTAGATTTAGGAAAAGCATAATTAGATTTGTAAATTCAATTTAAAGGCTTAAGAAATGGGTTTTTGAATTTGCAATTTTAACAAATTGCATTTTAATATTCAAAACAAAAGTAGCTCTTAAATAATCTCTTCTAGGGACCAAAGCCATGACTGAGGACATCAAAAAGCTCCCAGATAGCATGTGAATCCAGGCTGTCTGGTTCCTCATCTACTATGAAAGGCCCAAATAAAAGACCACCCAAATCCATTCCAGTTCTATACTTCTGAAGGCTATCCCTGGCCCACTGGACAGTTTGGTCATTTATTCATTGGTGGTTTTATTTTCAGGCTTCTACAAAGAGCAACCTGGTCTAAATTTCAATTCTTACGACAGACCGTGTGCATGACCTTAAGTATGCTGTTTTTCCAGGTCTGCTATCTGCCCTGTGCCCTGAGAAGCAGGATCCCCACTAGTTACCAGGGGTGCTGCGGGGACGAATAAAGCAGTTTTTACACAGCATCTCTGCAAGACATGCTGGCAACAAGTTTTCTGTTCTCTTATTTGCTCCTGCAATACTAAAAAGGATGTGTGAACAATGCTCAAAGGTCGGGACAGATGTACCTCTAGTCCTGCTAGAATGGAATTGCTATTATTATGTGTTACGATCCATTAATGGTCTTGTGTATTGGATTTCTTCACCTCCTCTAGGTGATGAATGGGCTTCCACAATGGCACACAGCTCCACTTGCCTTACGCTGCTGGAACCTTGCCAAATGTCACCCTGGGCCTTCCTTTTTTCATCAGAGGACAGCATGGACACAGGAGATTCTGGACACTAGCAATGCAGAAGCATGACATACAAACACAGACCTCAAGCTCAGAAACAGACAGGACCCAGCACATAGACAGACACAGTGGGTATCGAAATTTCAAAAACCATTCTGCATTAAATGTCTACCCTCCAACTCACTCAGCACTAGCTAAGGTACTAACACTATTAACTGTTTGCTACTTACCCAGTAGGTAACTCACTCTGCCAATAATACCCCAGCCTCCATTTAGAAGCCTGTGTTCTTTAAATTAATTTTGTTGGTACATTTTGGATATACATAATAACATTCATCATAGGGAATTTTCACCTGTATATGATACATCTTGCTTCTTAGGGTATGTTTTCTAAACCACCAAGCTCTGTGCTCAAAACTATGTCACAGGCAACAATGCCTAGAATAATCTAACCTTCATTTATCTAAATGAAAACATAAAGTAATAAAAAGGTTAGAGACCTGTTCCTGAGCAAATACAGAAAACTATCCTGACATGGTTTCCTGTTTTTCCCTTCAAACAAATAGAACACTGGATGGACAAATTTGGAGAAATATAAATAGAATGATTCACTGTTTCTGATGGTGGGGACAAATAAACCTCCTAACTGTTCTGAAGTACAGGGCACAGTGATCTAAATTAGCCTGAAGGGCATATGCATAGAAGGCAGCAAGAGAAACAGAAAAACAGCCAGAAACAGACAGGTAAGGGGAACTGTCTCCAATATGCACACAACAGCATCCAGCAGCTTGCAAATCTTTAAGGAACTACGCAATCACACTGTAAGCAAAAGGGGTAAGAAAAGCAGGTGTGATAAATAAAACATGCCCTCAACAATCAATGAATAAAAATTAATTGGCATTGTGGTTTAGCACGGTAGTCATTGCATTTCCTTGGATTAAACCTAACCTACCCAGGGGAATGTGAGTAACTTGATGAAGCCTTGTGTATTGCAGGGGTTTTGTGGTCCTGGTGTAATTTCAAGTTAACAAGTTTAGGTTTACGCATTTCGTGTTGCAAAAAGCTGAAATAGTTCCTGATGTGCAGTTTGTTTTAACCCACATTTACATGAGAAATCTTGAGCAGCTACATCTTGGTGTCTCTCTGTCAGCAATGGGTCACAGGGGAGATTGTATCTCTTGCTGGGGTAGCAAGCATTGGGAACTCCGTGAAAGAAGGAATTCTTCCCTTTCTAGAGCTCAGCAAACAGCAGAACCAGTTATCTGACATCTCACTGCCCAATTAATCATCTTTTAATTTTCTTGAAAGTAAACAAGATCTGATAACCCAAAGCTGGTAAATTCGGGATCTGTGCTGATAAACATGAGCTCCTTTTACTTTTTCTCTCTCTAAACTTTCACCCCATTTAGGGACTGACTGATGCTCCGCATTTGGTTTCATCACCTTCACTGTAGACAAGTTATGGAGCCGAATCCTGCAGGTCAGAGCCCTCCAGATTAGTAACAATTGTTTACAGGTCACAGGAGATCTAAAAATACCTAACAAGCCATGTTCCTGCAAATGTTTCTCAGTTATAGAAGGACTGTCCAATGGCATAAAATCATGCTAAAAATATATACAACAACATGTTACAAATCAAAACAGGAGGCTCATTAGTGGCAAAAGGTCCTGATTTGAAGATCCTTTCCCACTTGACAGTTACACAAGTTGACTCTACCCTTCCCAATAACTAAGCCCTATTTAAAAATAAACAAACAAACATTATTTCCTCTGCCTAATTTGATGAATAATGCATTAGGGATGGTGACAGGTTTGTACGAACTGTACCACAAATTGTGAGGGCTGTGCATCTTAATTCTTCTCTGTCTAACACATGCCACGACCTTCAGTTTTGTGATTTCAACATTTGGCCTCAAATGTCAAAAGGCTTGTGCAGTCATCCCAGCAAATTCAGCTCTTCAGAACAAATTCCAGAATTAATATATGTTCAACAAGCAGTTGAACTTCAATAATATTTCAATATGAAAGAAGAATGGGGCCAGGAATTTTAAAATTGAAATGTTATTACCCTGATTTTCCTTGTGACTGGCAACATCACCTTTTCGGGTTAGAGGTTTGAGACTGCTACCTGAAGTTCTTCTGCCTCCCCTAACTGACCAAGATACTTGAGACCAGTGGTAGCAAACCTATGGCACATGTGCCTCCATGGGCCATTTGTATCACTGAAAGATCTAAAAAGTTCACCATCACTGTCCTAGATAAATAAATGTAAAAACTGCTTGTGTGCACTGAGGATCCAAAGGGTGTCACTTATTAGAAACCAAAAACTGTTTATGAAATTAGGTGAATGTAACCACTCCAATAATACCTTCCCTCTCCTTACATAAACCCCGCAAAAGAGCTACTGATCTATCAGTCAATGACCTTTGCTGGGATGATCTACCAGCTCACGGAGCTGCTTAGAACTTTCCCTTACACATGGATGGGAGTGGAGACCAAACGACAGAAGGGGAAAAAAGGTACAAAAATAGGGAGAAAATTAACTTTTCTATTTAGATAATGAAAATGCACTCATGAGAGTCAAGTTGCAGGTAGGAGTAAAAAGTTCTGCTATTACCAATAGGATGACTGCGGAGAGCAGTTACGGATGGTATATTTCAAAAAGCTAAAATAAAAGGATATTGTATACTTTTGCCATAAAATAATAATATGTGAGGTTATGTTTAACCTCATCATAAAATGCAGACATGTATGAAATGCACAGTACACTATCAACATATACAATCTATGTTTCAGTCAAAAGTAATTAAAGTAAAATAAAACTTTTAAAAAGACCACATGATACTTACTGGATAAGAACAAAAAGGGACAGGAACCCCAGATAAAATCTCAAGGCTGCATAAAGCACCCTAGTTTTAAAAAGACTATTTGCACTGTGCTTTCCTCTGGAGCATTCGTCCAATCCTACGTGGATACCGAACACAGCAGTACCCCACCTCTGCTCTTGGTGCACCTATTTTCATCCATCTGGAAGTGTCTCCTTATTAAAGATCAGCTCGTTGGAGTTCCTTGGTGGCGGGAGAGCTTTGTGTGCCAGCCTCGCTTTCTTATGTTCTCTTCTTTGTTTACACTCTATTAATTAAAGACCATTGGAGTGAAGAGAGACTGACTCCCACGGCCCCCAGGCCGGCGCAGGTGGCCTCAGGAAGTGGCAGCACTTTTCCAGCTACCAATCATTGTGAGCGCTCGCAGCAAGCAGGTGATGGGGCCATGAGTGCTGCTCCTCTGTGGAGTGTTTCCTGGAGATCATTTTTGGTAAATTACACAATTCATTGCTGGGTTCATTTACAAGGTGGGCAAAGGTGCTAATAGGCATGTCTGTGCCAGGAAATACAGCAGCCCATGTGGAGAGTGAGTTTCCTTTTCTAGACAATGAGCATGTTGCCCTGGGCCAATTCATTATGACTCTGTTGAGAAGGCCCAGGGATTCACCAGGAGCCTTGTTATTGTTGTGCTGAGCAGACAGCAAAGCTCTTCAGCAGCCACCACAAAGACTGATTTCCAGTCCACTACGGAGCTGATCAATTAGGAAAACTGCCCTGGTCTTGATCTTTACAGGATACCCCATGTTTTATAGATAATTTGAATAGTCCTCAGAAAAACGACTCACCAACTTTCACAAGATTTCACTGGGTCATCTGGAATAGTACATAAGTTCCAAGAGCAAAGAGCTATGTTAAGAAAGTTGTTCATTCAAAAGTAATCATAGAGCCCTTATTCTACTGACATGTGTTAACTACTGGGAATAAGACACTAAATAGGAGAGAATCAGTGCCCTCCAACAAATTCTTCCCATTGGACTCCCAAAAGATTCTAGGCAAGTATCCTGGACATTTGTAAAAACAACACAGGACTCCCTCCATTCATGTCCCTTGCTTGCAGATACAGGGTATTAGGAAACGATCCCAATCCTTCTCCAAATGACCCACTTAGAATCAAGCTGACTATCCCTGCTTCATACAGCTGCCAAACCAAAAGGGTAGACATATTCCAACAGCTTGAATAACTCATGCAAAAGGAGAACACTGGTTCTATCACAGTAAAACTTCACAAGGTATCAGTACCCACTCAAACTTGCTGCATTGGGAGTAATAAGGGCTGTGGTAAAAATCCATGTAGCTACAAACCTGCAGACAATTCAACCCTGGCCATTGTCTCTTTGTTGAGATGAAGAGATAAAGAGGTTAAAGTAAATGAACAATCACAAATTTTCTTTTGGTGGTGGTGATGGGGCAGTACCAGAGATTGAACACAGGGCCTTCACACTGAGCTACGTCTCCAGCCATTTATTTCTTTTTATACAAAGTGTCACGAAGTTGCCCAGGCAGAAGTCGAACCTGTGATTCTCTTGCCTCAGCCTCCCAGAGAGCTGTGATTAATATAGGAATGTGCCACCATACCTGGCTGTGATCACAATTTGAAATATCACAGACTTTAAAGTGGAAAAGCCTCAAGTGTGACACTAGAAGAAAACTTTGAAATATCATGACACCAAAATATCTTTCCAATCATGTCTGGAACCAGAAGATCTCAATTAACTTCTAATGTCTTTAATGTTAAGTAAATGACATAAAAAGAGAAAGAGAAGAATTAAGTATATTATATGACACTCATTTTATAGGCTGACTTAATTTTCAAATTAACCCTAATTAATGGAAGGTATGATGATGCCCTTAATAAAGGAGGAAAATGAGGCCCAGTCAGAGGCAATAAGACACTTGCTCAAGGACATGTACTAATAAATTTCCAAGTCAAGATCCAAAACTTTGTGTAAATCCACTACAGAAACATAGCAGAGGCATTTCCTGAATTACAGAGATCATAGCTGCTAAGAAATGAAAGGCAACGATGTGTTTAGCAGATGTGGTTTTACAATTCCTCAGAAAATGCAATCCAACACCAACCCATGAAACCTCTTTGCCACTGTCTCTTCCTATCAGGCCAAAGGACAGCACTAAGCAGGGCTGTAGTAAGGTCCAGATTTCAGAT